CCTTTTTGGGAGTCGGTTAAAATAGACTATGTTTGGGTCTAAAATAACATCTGGTTAATGTTTGGGTGTAAAGTGACATCTGGTTAGTTAAGACGTTCTTATTAATAATATCTTGATGTTGTAAATAGAAAAGTTTTTATTCTATACTCTAAAACGTAGACTTAGTCAATAAACAAAGCAATTAAAATAGTTGCGTTAAAATGGCGTCGGCGAATCGCGATTAGCTGATCACTCCGTATTAGTTTTAAATAGGCACCCATTGTTAATATTATGTTAATACTTAGAGAAGTAGGTATCTATATATAAACATTTGAGTTTTACAGAGAGCTTTGCGATTAAACGTTTTAAACACAAATAGAAAATAAATATTTTTAAAAGAAAATTGTGATTTTTCCCCACAACTAGCAACATTTGTATTAGGATAGCTTAGGTAAGTATTTTTTTAGTTTTACGTAGTTATAATGAATTAAATATATAAACTTGTATATGAAATGCAGTACTATCACTTCTTTTATGTTTATCATCACTGTTGTGACAATCTTTTACAACAAAAACGGTCATTTTTACAATTTTTCGCGAGCTCTTCTCCGTAAGACATGACGTTGCGCACTGACGCGTCGCTGAGTGAACTAACGCGGTTTCGCGTTAGTTTAACTTGCTTCACTTTCCGTGCGCGTACTAGTATTCTATGCGTAATAATTCTATGATTCCGTATTAAGTTATTAAAAAAAATAGGTACGAAACAGCTTACCGATCTAAATTCTCCGTGGCCTTATGACATTCTCCAAGGCACATTAACATGTTACCGTATTCACGAGCACTATAAACGTACCTACGCGTTAGGCATTATTGAAACAAAACGAGAAACACAAAACGTAACAACAAGAATTTAATAAACAAAACGATAAAACTGTCGCTCTCGCGCACGTGATAGTCAACACGGAACTGTCTCAAAAACTAAAATTAATAATCAATCCCGCCAAAACAAATGCCTCGTGCGCCGTAACGTACTTGAAGCACTGGTCAATTCCACAGACCATTAAACCGTTACGACATTGCCAACGTTTATTTTATTTATAAGTTTAGTTATCCCTACGATTAGTCTTCATATGGAATTTAGAAGTTATGGATGTCATTTTTAATATAATTACACAATCAATTGTACCCTGATGCAACAAGTAGTTCTTTACTACACAAATTACATTGAAATTAATAAACGTACCTAATTGGGTACTCAGTACTAAATTACACAATTATAAACGCTATTTCATCGTTATCTTTGATTATGTAAATTATTTCTGTAAGTGGGCGGAAGCCGCACTCTGAGCTACAGCCACAGAGTACTTTACTCACTCACTCAGTTCGACGTCAGTCGCCATCGTGAGTGGACATTGTTTCGGTTGTTTGCATCGGCTCAAAAAGATCGCTGTACAAATACATAATATTCGAATAACCAAATTTCTTAAATACTTGATTATAATAATAATGAGAGATTTTTTTTATTACAATATTTTAAAAGCACAGAATAAATAATCGTAGTACATACTAAAAGTAAGTAGTATCAATTTTTTTGTCATGGGTGACATTTTCATGGTTTTCGAGGGTGTTGAATTCGATAGGGTTGTCGAAATGTAAATCCAAGATGGCGGCCGCAATAGGTATCAATTTTTTCATCATGGGTGTCATTTTCATGGTTTTCGAGGGTGCTGACGCCGATAGTGCTGTCGAAATGTAAATCCAAGGTGGCGGCTGCAATAGGTATATAATATTTTTCATTATGTGTGTCATTTTCATGGTTTTCGAGGGTGTTGAAGCCGATAGTGCTGTTGAAATGTAAATCCACGATGGCGGCTTAATTAAAAACAAAAGCGTAAACCAACTTAAAATAAAATGTGCACAGCTTTTAAGAACAAACAGACACGTAAATAATTTTTGAACGAGCGAAAAAAATTGGTACAAGTCCGTCTAGCAGCGTGCCTCAACGATCACTGTCGCTCCGCGTAGAAATGAAAGAAAAGCGAAAAGACGCCACGATGGCGCAATGCGAAACATCGATTCGTTCGAGTTATTTTTCATTAAATATAGTAATACTTACAAATATTTTATTTCAATCGATAAATAAAAACAATAAATCCCCTTATTATTATGTTTTACATCACTGTTATTCATTTTATTAAGATTTATAAATAATACAGTTACAATTGCTAGAAACTCAATTCCAATGGCTATTTTATGATATTTTTCTATCGAGAAAATTTACTGAAAACGTGTTTTGAAAACAATGGTCCACCCATAAATGTGACCAAGATTAACATTTTTTTTTCAGCTCTAAAATGTATAAATTTAGTTAAAAAACTGTTTTGTAAAGCCTAGTTTGACTATGTACAGCGCTTTAAATTGGGGAATTAGACATGAATTTTCAGGGAATTTGTGAAATTGGTGTTGGCAACGCTGCCATGTTGCACCGAAATTTAGTTTACCGGCGACAAAAGAATTAGAGGCGGCAATTACTATAAAACTTGCAAGTAATTTTTAATATTTTTTCTAATAATTGATTTTAACTATTAAATTATTCAGAAACGGTTCTGAATAATTTAATAGTTAAAATCAATTGCAATTATGATCGACAGTTAATTAATCTATCAGAATTAATGTAAAAATTAATACTTTTACTTTATTTTAACTGACTTTCCGTATTTAATCCGATCAATACTTTGAATTTAAAAAGAGGTACGTCAAAATTATTAAAAATTACTTGCATGTTTTATATTAATTGCTGCCTCTAATTCTTATGTCGCCGGTAAACTAAATTTCGGTGCAACATGGCAGCGTTGCCAACACCAATTTGACAAATTCCCCGAAAATTCATGTCTAATTCCCCAATTTAAAGCGCTGTACATAGTCAAACTAGGCTTTACAAAACAGTTTTTTAACAAAATTTATACATTTTAGAGCTGAAAAAAAAAATGTTAATCTTGATCACATTTATGGGTGGACCATTGTTTTCAAAACACGTTTTCAGTAAATTTTCTCGATAGAAAAAAATCATAAAATAGCCATTGGAATTGAGTTTCTAGCAATTGTAACTGTATTATTTATAAATCTTAATAAAATGAATAACAGTGATGTAAAACATAATAATAAGGGGAACTATTGTTTTTATTTATCGATTGAAATAAAATATTTGTTAGTATTACTATATTTAATGAAAAATAACTCGAACGAATCGATGTTTCGCATCGCGCCATCGTGGCGTCTTTTCGCTTTTATTTCATTTCTACGCGGAGCGACAGTGATCGTTGTGGCACGCTGCTAGAGGGACTTGTACCAATTTTTTTCGCTCGTTCAAAAATCATTTACGTGTCTGTTTGTTCTTAAAAGCTGTGCATATTTTAATTTAAGTTGGTTTAAGCTTTTGTTTTTCATTCAGCCACCATCGTGGATTTACATTTCGACAGCACTATGGGCTTCAACACCCTCGAAAACCATGAAAATGACACACATGATGAAAAATATTATATACCTATTGCAGCCACCAACTAGGATTTACATTTCGACAGCAATATCGGCTTCAGCACCCTCGAAAACCATGAAAATGATATCCATGATGAAAAAATTGATACCTATTGCGGCCGCCATCTTGGATTTACATTTCGACAACCCTATCGAATTCAACACCCTCGAAAACCATGAAAATGTCACCCATGACAAAAAAATTGATACTACTTACTTTTAGTACGTACTACTATTATTTATTCTGTGCTTTTAAAATATTGTAATAAAAAAAATCTCTCATTATTATTATAATCAAGTATTTAAGAAATTTGGTTATTCGAATATTGTGTATTTGTACAGCGATCTTTTTGAGCCGCTGCAAACAACCGAAACAATGTCCACTCACGACGGCGACTGACGCCGAACTGAGTGAGTGAGTAAAGTACTCTGTGGCTGTAGCTCAGAGTGCGGCTTCCGCCTATTTACAGAAATAATTTACATACAAGGCTACCAAATCAACGAAAATTTCGCCATTTTGGAGCCGAAAAAAATTAATTATAGCTAAACAAAACAAAATTACACTGCCGTTTACATTCAGTGGCTTCCCACATGATAGATGAAGAGATTAAAAAATAGATTGTGTTAAACAATTGATATTTTCAAAAAACAAATATAATTTCAGTGTCAGTCGCGTGTCCCCATAGCAAAATACCATACGACATTATGCTATGGAAATAGCTAAAGAAATAAGTCTAGCTGTTACGAGTACCACACTGGTAAGATTTGTAACCTTTTTTACAGCATATGCTGCAGAACTAAGTCTGCTTCCTAATTTTGATATATGGGGGCTTCATTGAAGCTTCGCATCTAGTGTTATTCCAAGAAAAATGGTGGTATCGACAAGACTCAGTTCCTTTCCATTTAATATCACATTATTATTTAAAGGTTTGACATTTGGAGTCATAAACTTCATACATTTTGTTTTAGTGCCATTTAAATGCAAGTTATTAACATTAAACTAGTTTACTAATTTAGATATAGCATTATTTACTTCGTCATATTTTAATAATTGTCGTTTTAATTTGAAAATTAAGTGTCATCAGCAAATAATACTATATCATGGTTATCCCTATGTAAGGTAAGTCATTAATATACACAAGAAACAGAAAGGGCCAAGAATTAATCCTTTAGGCACGCCCATTTGAACTATCGACCCGGAAGAGCTCATACTATTAATGACAACTTTTTGTGTTCAGTTACTTAAATATGAAACAATTAACTTAAGAGCATTACTTCTTACGCCGTATTGTTGTAGTTTCCTGATTAATGTTTCATAGCGAACACAATCGAAGGCTTTGGATAGGTCACAGAATAGACCAAAGACATCCTGTGAATTCTCCCATGCATTGAAAATATATTTAATCAGCTCAACACCAGCATCAGTTGTCGGGCGACCCCTTGTGAAACCGAATTGATTTTTATGAAGTAAATTATTGTTACACTACCTGTATAGGATTAAGCAGGCCTCGAAATATTGATAAAACTTCGTCGCTTCTACCGCTTCCAGATTTACGATTTGCTGAAATGAGAATATTTGAGTTTATATTTGTGAATTTGTAGCCAACTTCTCTAGGTGGAAATCTACGTATGCAACGCCACTGTGCTGATCCGATACTGGTCACTGCAGAGCTAAATTATTTCCGAGTGACATGGGCTATGTTCTATTAAAGATTTTAAGTTCTATTGCTTTCTGGATTCTGGTTGCAAAATGCTTACGAAAATTACAACTCTCCAATGCTTTTGAACAGCATATTGCAGACATAAAACATTTCTTTTACTGTTTAATTAAAATGCTCATCTATTCTTTAAAAATTGTAGCCATGAAGAAGTGAATATTTCTCTCTCTCTTACGTATCTAGTTGTTTCCGTAAAAAACTTTATCACATCAAAAACTGTGAGTTGTTTATCATTATAATAATAGTATTTGATTTTTACTTGAAACTTTTCTACTTAGCTTTTACTTTTTTACATGTAACTAGGTCTATCTACCAGTGACTTAGTTCGCGTGGATGTATACGTATAGTGGCGTGTATGTCACTTTCAAGAGGTCGCTGAGACTATTAATTTATATGTAGTACAGAAAGTCATTAATCGCTTACACGAAATAGAAATAATCAATTAAATCTTTACTTATGAAGTTGCCATTTTGTAGTACTGGACATTTTGAATTGTAATTGCTACGGTTTAACTTGGAATCGTAAATTCTAATAAATTTTAAATTTTATGGCATGTTATTCTTTCTTCCAAATCAGATAATTATTCAATTGTTTCCATATCGCTATATTTGTAACTATGGACTATAAAAAAATCGTGTATTGTGTTATTTTTGAACATGAGTTCCGACGTGAAAAAAATATGTCATAAACTAAACGCAATATGAATGATGTGTCTGACCTGGCACTAATACGGAATGAACTATACGTTATTGGTTCAATCGCATTCGTTCGGGAAATTTTGACCTCACAAATGAATCTCACGGAGATTGTTGATAATGACGAATTTAAGGCGGAAGCGGTTCCATCATAAACTACGGCTAAGCTATCGTCGAACTGATTGACGGACACACAACCTTTGCCTCTATTACGTTCCGCTGCAGCGTTGGGTATCGTAGCATAACTTTAGTGGGCTCAGGTTTCTCAAGTGTTATAATCGTAAAATTTAAAATGATTTAATAGAATGTGAAACTACTATATAGCATATTTTGTTGTCTTCATTTATCGTATTATCGTAAAAATGTTGCGAGAAGCATATGGATCTGTGCGTACGAGGTTTATATCACAGGTATCTATACATATAATAAAAATGTAAATAGCCGATGTCTGTACATTTTAGATTTATATAATAAAAGTGATTGAGTGGTACTAAAAATAAGTAATTAAATACATTTCTACCATTTTTAGAATTTTCTGTCTGTCTGTCTGTCTGTCTGTCTGTCTGTTTGTTTGTTAACGTATCACGTATAAAGTACCAATTTATATCAGAAGAATCGTTAAAGAATTTATAAAGTGTATCTTCAGGTTACATTTAGTCTTTATTTCATTAACATTAGTTCATTCCATCAAAAGTTATGATAAATATTCTGAAGTATGGCTACAAAGTATAGGTACGAATTTGTTCAATGGTGGCGTTTGTTGAGTCATCAAGTACATTTTAAACTAATATCATATTATAAATCATAACATAATTAAATGATGTAAAATAATGTTCTATAATGATGAAATTATATCTAAAACGCAGTAAACAAAAGTATTGCATAAAGAACGTAATAAATATATTAAAAAATATATTAACCTTATTATGTAAATCTAAAGTACAATAGTTAACCCATTTCATCGATAGATGGTGGTGTTGCACAAATGTCGTGCAAGAAGGCAGGTTGTGGTTTTTTTTCTGTAAATGACTTTTCATATTTGCTGTTAATCTTTAAATTACTCGCTGCCCTACTGTGTATTGACAATGTCATTTATTCTTTACCGCCGAGTACTCTACATGGTAAATCAAATTTTAAAAGAGCTATTAACAATTTCGTTGGTTTCGGCGAGAATCAAACTTTCTTTCTTACTTACGATGTAGGCCTGATTTATAAGTTCTTTTAAGTTTTTTTATTGTATCAATCGCGTCAATTAATCTCTTTTATTTTTTGAATTGATTTTAACAGCGCCATCTATCCTTATATCTCTATACATGCGGTAATCACATGCTGTGTCTGATTCTGTACATTGTATAGTATATTAATTTGTGACTAAAATCATTATGGAGACTGAAACTCATTAAATAAGTACATTTTTATAATTTTTAGAATTGTCTGTCTGTCTGTTTGTTTATGAACGCATCACGTCTTAAGTAAACATCTTTTTTTCAAAGAAATTGTTTAGAAAATCATAAAGCGTATCATCCAGTTCAAAGATTAACTTTGTTTTATTAAAATTGGTTAATTCTATCGAAAGTTTTGATTATTATTTTGAAATGTAGGTTCGATTTGTTTAAAGGCGCCATAAAACCTCAGAAATAGTAATAAAATGATTCCTTTTTATAAAAAAACGTTTTATTATAATATATTTATACTTTAAACACAGTAAACAAAAAATATGTTTTCCTTAAATTAAAAAAGGATGTCTTCCACGAAGAACGTAATAGATGGCGTTGTACGTTAACGAGTCCATTCAAGCTGAAAGAGCCGTGTAGGGTGTAAGCTAACAGCACAAACATCATCAAAAACAGATATCAGAAAAAAGATACGTACGCCCAAGCTAAACGTAGCAAAATTGCATCAAAAACAATATGTCATGATGTTGTTTTATACCAAGAATCCACCTTATATCAAATAACTTTCCTTTCAGTTCTAAGCGTGTTCTGTTCCCACTTCCCATTCCCAGTCAGCGTGTGTTATGCGATGACCGATGACCGTAAATAAAGCGCAAGGTCAAACTTTACGCGTTGCAGGAGTGGACCTCAGTACTGACTGTTTTGCACATGGCCAACTCTATGTTGCTTTTTCCCGCGTTAGTAGCTCCCGTAACATTTTTCTGTACGCCCCGGCTGTCTACTTCTAACGTCGTTTACACAGAAGTTCTATCACAAACGACTCAGAACTTTGAGCATAACGATTTATTTTGGTGCCACTTATTCATACAGTAATGATATAAATCGTTTAATATTCTCTTGCCTAAACGTCAAATTCTTTAAGTAAAACCTATATACGCGAGCTACGCCGCGGGCACAGCTAGTTTTAAATAAATTGAAACTATCATGGAATTAGCTTTGTTAAAGCTATGCTTTTTGTCGATTTCAAATAACCTATACTTAATTAAAAAACAATATTTGCATTAAATTCGATTAAATAATTAATAAAACATACGATAAATGTGGCTGATTCTAATTCTGAATACACTAGTTTATTGAATCTATCATTTAATCATTCATAACAGCCTATCAAAGTCCACTTATAAACATAGGCTTCTCTTCATAGATTGCCTCATAGTTTTATAGGGTTCCGTACACAAAGGGTATCCCACGGGGCCCTATTACTAAGCCTCCGCTGTCCGTCCGTACATCTGCCTGTCAGCCGGCTATATCTCATGATCGGTAATAAGTAGAAAGTTGAAATTTCCACAGAATGTGTATTTCTGTTGCCGCTATAACAACAAATAATAAAAAATTAAATAAATTAAAAATTAAAAGGGGCTCCCTTCCTAGAAACGTGTATTACGATGGTACGGAACTCTTCATGCGCGAGTCTAACTCGCACTTCGCCGGTTATTTAATATTTTGAATTGATATAAGGAGCTGCGCATCTCCTGTTATGTTTTATATCCCTATGTCGCCTTTTACTATACCCATACGATGTAAGTATGTATATAATATGGAATATTGTAATTTCTTAGGCAGCCACTGAACGGGGTGTATATATGACTTAATAATCAATAAATTTAAAAATTTCCATGTACAAATTTTCATTTAAATAAAAAAAAGCAATGAATAGTAATGTCTATGCAAGAATAAAATTTGTTTACATTCTTTCTCTCTAGTCATATTGGTCTTGAATATACTTATTAAATTAACTTTTATATGTAGTTAAATTATTTGAGAATACCGAGTATAATAAGAGGCTCCCAGTCATCTTCAGGCCATGGCTGAATATTAATAATCGATCCGCTCTCTACTTGAACATGAGTTGGGGGGATGATGAATTTCCTATATTTGTTAAAATCGCACTCCTGAAATAAATTATACTTAATTATTTAATGCCGTTATACCAATAATATAAAACGAATTAAATTTAACTTGTACAAGTGATTTAGTACCTCATTCTCACTTAATGAACTTTCTTTAACAATTTTAATTCGCTGACACCAAGAACAAAACAACCTTTTTAAGTTTCCTTCATTTTGTTCACTATCTTTTTCACTGGTCATACCAACTAAAACACAACATGTAAGGACTTAATGTCTTTGATAAATTAATAAAATTTAAGTTGAAAAAATAATATTAATGAAAAACTTTACACTTTTACAAGCTGTGCAGGACATTGAACACTTACTATTAACCCAGTGGTGAGAGAATGGTTTATCAATGGGCCACGTTATTTGCTTGCACCTGAATTTTTTATCCACACCTTTATTACATTTCTTGCAAGCACTTACAGCACAACATTCACAAAACAGACCATCAAGGGGCAACATCAATTTACAGCATACTGTGCACTGCAAACACCAACAAACATTATCAAAATTAACATATCTTACATTCATTATTAACACCTGCACGGGATAATGGAGTAGTATTTTTTTTAAGTATTTTGCTTCATTTAACTTGTCTTTTGTTATTTATTGTAAACAAATATAGGTAAATAGATTGTAGATAGACTTTGTGCTATACTTGGCCTTACAGTTGCATAAAACTGAGCCTCAAAAGTTTTGATATTGTTGTTATTTTAAAGATTATATTTTTTTAAAGAATAAGTTATGAAAGAGCCTTAAAAGTGAATGGGTGTTAAAAGAGTTGGCTCTTTCATAACCCTGCGTTTAAATTTTGTGAATAAAATAAAATAATAGTAAATATGCATTTTTTATATATTATTAAATTATTTACTTCAGATATTGCATTATGGAGAAGCCTGGTGTAAAACACGAGAAAGATCCGAAAAGTCCGAAGTTTTGGATAAAAATCAGTCCATAAACAAAACTGCTCTTATCTTTAATATGTTGAGGGCATACGTAGCTAAAATAGTTAAAAAAGTAAAGGCTTCTGGTGAATCAGCTTATGAACACTGTGCTAATATAGGAAACAAGCGTATTTTCACAACAGACCAGGAGAATATGCTTGCGGATTATTTAAAGACTGCTTTTAAAATGTGCTATAGCCTAACAACGCAACAAACCAAGAAGCTGGCATTTGATTATGCCATGGGCAATGATATCACTCCAGATAAATGGAAGGAAATAAAAATTGCAAGTGAGGATTGAACACTTCTCTATCACATGCAACAAATGTTAATAAAACTAATGTAAACACATTTTTTGAGAAACTACAATTTTTTATACAATTTTCCTCCCCATATGATTCTTAACGCCAACGAAACAGGCTGTAGCACCGTCACCAATCCTCCTAAAGTTATAGCTGAAACAGGTCCGAAACATATTGGGCAAGTTACCGCAGCTGAACAAGAAGCATTAGTAACAACTCTGTTCTTTATTAATGCTGCTGGTGGTTTATACCGCCTATGTTTGTATATCCTAGAGATAAATACTTCTATAAAGATCATATGTTAATTAATAGTCCACTTGGAGCTCTGGGGTTGGCTCAAGCTTCTGGGTCGATGACTGAGGATTGTTTTGTTAAAGCGCTTGAACACTTTGTGATGCATGTTAGGACATCAAAGGAGAATCCAGCATTAATGTTAATGGATAATCACAGCTCTCATGTGAATCTCAGAGTGGTTGAATTTGCCAGACAATATTCAATCATTATACTTAGTTATATTCCCACCGCAGTACAGCCATAAACTGCAACCATTCGATGTCACAGTATATGGGCCTAAATAACAACAAACCTAAATACAGCATTGCCATGAATGAATGGATGTTATAATTGATAGAATCAGGCGTTACTTTGCGGAAATCCATTATAATGGGATTGTTATAAACTAATTTGCTTAATTCCGCGTAAAGAAAGAAAATGATGTATCCTGCCCAGTTTTAAGGGGATCTACCATCCTCCTTCAATCGCGCGCACTATACCCGTCGCCGTAACTCTCAGCACTACCACCCACAGCACCACCACACTAGGCACGACACTCCACTCTTGAAAATACGACACGTGTTTCGCCTCTACACGAGGCATCCTCAGGTGAAGTAGACTCTGCAGAGGCTGGCCGCTAAGTGAGCGGCGAGCCAAAACTACTGCTATTTATACTACTTGCTGACGCAACCGCGCTCCAATTACGTAGCGAGTGATTACGTCATGCGATCAATCACCGCCTGACCGCCGATATTTGCTGTGAAATTAACAACAAACTACTGCGAAACGTCCACCTACTCTACAACCACGCAACCAAACGCTGACCACCGCAACGTGAGGGTCACAAACGACCATGTTGCGAGGCTATATATCATCAAGGAGCAGGCTTAAACATGTTTAAGAGAGGCGAGTTGGAAACCTGTTTTTGTTCATTCAGCAGTGCAACATTACCGTTATTATTTTTTTTTAGTTAGTCAGTTTGTTAGTCAGTTAGAGATATTAAAAAATAGTTACGGTAATGTAAACTAATGCAGGCTTCAAAGTGCTACCTACATTGGTGTAAAAATTTGCTACAGACATATAGCGCTACAACTGTCTTTTCATACTATACATATTTTGATCACAATTCAGCCGTGAGGTGATAATTTAAGATAATTCATATCCTCATTTTGTTTCGAGAAAATGTCGCCCGAGGCAACTATTATATCGGCCAGAAAAACCTCCGATAGATGGCAGCTTATCTTGTTTTTGCCAGATGTAATGTAAACACAAGCCGGTGACGGGGAGCAGCGACAAAGGTATGTCTAAAGCGGTACTGCAAAAGCCAATTCACCTGTCTAGCGACCTTTCTATAATCGCAAAAGATTGTTACTTGCTGATTGACACTAGTCAACTATAACAACAATGCACATAACATGTTAAAAGCTATTTCTTTGATGCTCTGTCTTTGGGGTTACTTAATTCATACTGTGATTTCTAAAACGAAAATCGGATAACACCCTATTTCAATACGTCAATCGTTAAACCATTCGCACTGTATTAAGAAGGTATTGTTGGCCCAGGCCAAAATTATTCATTTCAAATTACTTATCCTTATTTCACCTATGTATCAGATTTTACGTTTGGTGGTAGCTCGTATTGCAATATGAACCAAATATCACACTATCATACAATCACTACAATACAATCTTGTTTGATCATCATTATTTAATGTATTTGATTACGATCGTTCAGTCCTGCGTTCAATCGCGCAAACCCCAATCGCGAGTGAAAGCATGTATCGTACGAGGGCGGCACTGAAAATTTCGGGAATCAAGGAAGTGACACAACATTACTATTTAAAAATGTATTTATTGCTTTTCGAAGTATTCTCCGCGAAATTTGACACATTTTTCCATACGATGGAACCAATCATTGAAGCAACCATTCCATTCGGAAGTTGGGGTCTCCAAAATGGCCGTTTTTTAGGCGTCCACAGCTTCTTCAGGTGATGAAAATCTCTGTCCACGCAATTTATTCTTTATTTTAGGGAAATCATAGAAATAATTAGGGCTTAGGTCGGGGCTGTACGGCGGATGGTCAAATAATTCTATGTTTTCTTGCTCTAAAAACTCTTTTATTCTGTGTGCGGTGTGAGAACTCGCATTGTCTTGATGGAGGATGATGCGGCGGTTGCAGTTCTCTTTACGGAGTTCAGAAACGACCTGTGGCAAACAAATGCTAGCATACCATTCTGCATTAAGGCCCAAAAACAACTGTGACGTGTGATTGGTGTCGTGAAATGGTTCAAAGATTTAACGGAGGTGACTCAAATGCTGTGTTCGACATACTTACGGGTGACGAAAGATGGACTTATTATTATGATCTTGAAACTAAGAGACAGTCTGCTGTCTGGGAGTTTCCTTCCTAGGAGTTTCCAACTAAAGTGAAGAGAGGTCGAAGCGTGGGAAAAAAGATGGTGGCCTCGTTGTTCGGAAGGACAGGTAATTACGCAACAATTGTTTTAGAGGATCGAAAAAAAGTTACTGCAGAGTGGTACACTAACTTGTTTGCCACTTGTCTTGGAAAAAGTTCGAGAGAAACGAGCTCGCAGTAGGATCCCCCTTCACCACGACAATGGATCGTCGCACACCGCCAAGCAAACAATCGAGTAATTGGCGACGTCAGACGTGGAATTACTGGATCACCCGCACTATAGCCCCGACCTCGCACCTTGCGATTTTTATTTATTTAAATAAAAGGAAAATTTCGAGGAAAACGTTTTATGAACGCCAAGGAAGCAGTGGCTGCGTTTCAAAATTCCGTCGAAGAGACCCCTAAGGACGAGTGGGCAAAGTGCTTTTCTCAGTGGTTCCATCCGATGCAGCGATGTATTGATGTAAATGGACACTATTTTGAAAACATATAATAAAACTAATAACTTGCTAGTTTGTTCAGTTTTTGATTTTCTAAGAACGTTTAGTGTCACCCTCGTAGCTATCCAAAATTATGGACAACGTTATAGGCCTAGCCCACAGAATACTATTTACGTCGAGCTTAGCGCTCAACACCACCAATTACTTGCAACAATTGTAACTATAAATCATAGTTCTAAGTGCTGATTTACTACGTGCTTGGCCTTGAAGGAAAACAGAAGGAAACTTACATGTATAAAAAAATTAAAAAAATATTTCGAAAAATGTTGACACCCCCAAACACGTATTGCGGCAACGCGGTGACACTTTCTTGTCCAAAAACCCTCTCAGGAATGAGAGGAGGATATAAAGAAAGAGGGAGATATAAAGAAGAGTACAGAACCGGAAACTGAAAATAGATGCCCGGTTCTTTCGAGAATCACCATAAATAATATAAAATTTAATTTTTACTTTCTATTGTTAATATTTTCTGTTTAAAAATAAATCTGATCATAAATTACCTACCTATAACGACAGATTTATGACTTAAAATATATTATTACCATTAATAAGAAAATCCATCTGACAAACGAAATACAGAGAAATTTTCAATGTAGTCTGATAAGTGGACTTCAGTCAGCAACCTAAACAAAGAAACTAAAACTCTAGGACTCGTCAGATTTTAGGAATTGTCTTGCCAGCGAAAACATTCGGTGATCACTGGAGATGATATTATCATTGAGACAACAGGTACAGATACATAGATACACAGACAACGGTCAACACAAGCCCGTCGGCCTATATTACCACATGTGCTAAAACGGGGTGGAAAAGGCGAAATTGTACACGTCTCGTTGATTAACCTGTAAACATACCACCTCAATTACGTTACTGCGGTCACCTTTATGTCAGAGATCCGCATCTCTGTTTCTGAAAACCTTCCAGGGTCTAACAAAACTAGTAGACCAGATGGTATACCAGCTATAGATCTATACGCTATTACTAGGTGGTAGGACTAATTATCTGCTTAGGAATCCGTCTGAATAGGTACCCTTTTACCTATTTCCAGTCTGAAGGGTATAGATAACCAGTATAATTACGGGCTGTGAGGCATTCCTTCTTAGTTCTCAGAAGTGACAACGCAACTATAGCTTTCTTCGTTTGATGTTTTCTGCAGGCGTCGTGGGTACCTAGAGTGATCTTATGTCTTGTACATTCTTTCCAATTTTACTTTGCTTTGTTATTTTCAGCAGTGAAATTGTGATGGACTGTAATGATGATGATGAACTGTGTGCAGCCAGTAATTAGGAGTATTCAAATTATTCATAGTTAAAAGTACTTGTATTCATTTGTTTTTGGCTAAAACTTGGTGGAGTAAATAGTAATCTGAATAATAATTATAATAAATATGACTTCTAATAACCATACGACAATAGGTTGAGGTGGTCGACAGACTTTACTATCACAGACTCAACTCTTTCTTTTCTTCACCCTTTCATACATTAGGTTACTGGAAAATGTGAGCCAATGTATAATAAATAAAAAATGTTTTATACTAAATATCCAATTTAATAAAAAATATTATCATAATAAAAACCACCATAACTGCGAAATTAATTGCTTGCAGATTTCGAAACACGAATCGAATAACATCGTAACTTAAAAAGAGAGAGATCTTGACGAGAGTGCTCTGCAAGTTTATGGAGAAAATTATAGTCAAGCAAATTGAAAACTTCCTCTCTAACCACAAAGTACCTATACGGCAACATGGTTTTTGTGCACATCGTTCCACGATTTCCAATTTATTATTATGCCTATCATCATGGACCAAACACTACAATGAGAGTGAGCCTCTCGACGTAATTTATTTCGACTACGAAAAGGCGTTTGATAAAGTCGTAACGAGAAGACTGCTCCTGAAATTGGAATACGTGAGAAAACCCTACATGTAAGAATGGCTGAAACGAAGTCTGATCACAAAAAAATACATAGTGGAGTGCCACAGGGTTCTGTTCTGGGCCCTGTATTGTACATTATTTATACCTTTGACCTTTGATTTATACTTTTAACCTTCCTAGTTGCCTAAAGTGTAATGTTATAATATTTGCAGCTGGTACTAAAATATTTGCAATTCCACTAATTGACTATGACCACCTTCAAGATGATCTGATTAAAATACTCCAAATGTACAGTATTACGCATAGGTAACCGTACCCCTCGTCTTACCTGTAAACTAGACTGCACGTCACTTACAGATGTTAAAGTATAAACCGATTTGAGAATAAAAATTGCAGGAGACTTAAAGTGGAGAGCATATTATATCAACAATTGTCAAGAAAGCTAAATGACAAATTTACTTTGTAAGAAAAGCTTTCACTGTCCTCACACTGGAAATGATGCTTAAGATCCACAAAACATTTATCAGGCCAATATTAGAAAACGCATTTCAAATCTGGAACCCTTAGTTTTATCAAGGACATTGAAATTTTGAAAAAAGCAAAGCGTAGCCGCACTAAAATACCACGGTTATTGAAACAGCAGTCTTAAGAAGAATATTTTAGTTTAGTTAAAGTTAGTTAAAGTTTTAAAACTTACAACAATAAAAAGCCGCAGGGAGCAAGAAGATCAAATCGAAACCTTTAAGATCTTAAGTGGACATTATGATATTGAGGAGTTTCACAAATTGTTTATTTTGTACTGAAAACACTCACCTCAGGGCCCACCATCTTAAGCTATATTAGTATATAGCTTTTCAAACAACAACACTCACAAGCACTTCATTTGTAACTGTAGTCACTCAGTGGAATAAGCTACTAGAGAACATAAAAATGTAAACCAATTCAAAAATAGATAAGATAATCATTTTCTGAACTGCAAAAGGAGTAACTAGTGGGCACAACAAGGATACAAGAATAATTAAAAAAATATATAAAATATTATCATTGTAATTTTTAGTATTATTGTAATTTTCATATATCTGTAACTACAGTAAACATAAAAAATAAAATCTTCAAAGGGACAAAAATTACTTATGCCCGGTTTCTGAAGTTCCTAGTTATCTTCCCATTAGCTATTGATTCAATAAAGTTATCTGTAGGATAAATGTTGGTTAACTGTCACTGCGTTTCTGAATACGCAACGAATTGTTCAACAACTATGAAACCATTAACAAGTACCATAATTTGCCGCTAGATGGGTCTGTTTAAGACATCGAGTCTTAAATTGATTTTTTAATTTCAATTCTTCATTTATAATAGTGTTATTTATAAAATATACATTTTTGAGGCTAAATAAGAGGATATGCACTGTTTTAGTAATAAAATATGATAATTCCATATTTATCAGAAACTGTATGAATGATGTCATTGTATTGTCAAATTGTTAAAAAAGAAAACATGAGACTCATTGCTTTTATTCGAATGTGGTTTTATTTTTCATAACTTTCTGATTTTAAGTTTAGTGGTATTTACTATCCTTTTTGCACTATCCAAAACATTATGGAATCTGGAAAACGTAGAAAAAATTTTCTGAAAGAGAGAAGAGTACTCGTATTCATTGCACTTCTATTAATAATTATTTTATCCCTTGAATATTTTAGTATTTAGCGGCCACTGGCAATTTATTTTAATAATAACACGTTATAACCTACAAGTTGATATAGTTTGCTTGAAATTAAACGTCAAATAAAGTTATAGAACTGATAAATGGCACATATTGGCCAGTTAAATTAAACTCAACTTAAACGGAGTTTATCTTACATTGCGATGTTCGGAAACGAACTTTCACAAGTTATCGAACCAATAGTGCTAACGAATAGATAAACTACCAATAAAAGTACCTCAGAGCATTAGTCAACTTATTGGAATTAATCACTGTTGTCGTATTTGGAGCTGGTCATGGATACTGATCTGGCATGACATCTATGTTTGTATGAGAAGACAATGGCTGTGGTTCTTCTGTATAAGATTTCTTCCTCAAACTATAAGGGCATTAGTGCCTATCGTTTCTATTGCTATTATAGGTAGGTGAGAAGTTACACAATTTGTTTTCGACTTTTACAATTGATCACTTAGGAGAAATAGAGCATCAATTGTTTTAAAAAGTAATCTATTGCAGTGTTTTTTTTTTTTTGATTATGTTTATAGTGCTGAAAACACATTCAATTTCTGCATTATAAGTGTGGAAGACACTTAACAGTAAAAGCAAATTGTGCCATTCTCTCAAAAGGATTTGTTTGATGCAATTCAATATTTTGAGACTTCAGCTACGTTTAGAAATATGTCTATGCTATTTTGTAAGAATGTTAAATAGGCCATTTTATAAAAACTAATGTTAATTAAATATATCGGTATCAATAGCAACAATTTATTGTCTAAACCATTTAAGATATCTGAAATAAGGGCCAGGTCACCAGCACGGCTAACATGGGCTGGGGACAAAAATTTTATCCCCCAATTATATCCACTGACAAGAGATAAAATTATCTTGTCCCTATGCCAAAGCACGGCAACGGGGAGAAATATATCTTCGTTTGACATAACGAGTAGACATATATCCCCCCGTCCTTAGCAAGGAGAAAAATGAAAGATAAAAAATTATACTTTTTTGACACTTGAAAGGGACAATTCTATCCTAGTTCATTGGACGTGGGTTTAAGTTTATATTCATACGAAAAATCTATCTAAGTCTAAGTCTATCTCGCATTTTATTTACTGTGGATATTATATACACTGGTGTGCCCATGCTCGAAGGGTGGATAAAACTAAGTGAGGGGATAAACATTTTCTCCTTTCCCCGGGGATGAAATTGTCTCCTGCCCATGCTAGCCCTGCTGAAGTCTGAAGAAGAAGAAAATTTCTGCTGAAGAAGAAAATTTTGTCACTAAAATGAAATTTTGGTAGCTGACGCCAACTTACGTTGTACTTCGATTTGTGTGTGGATCTTAAGTGTTGATATTATGGTCCTAGACAGTAAATATGTTTGCCTATAAAATGCTATTTAAATCGGACAAAATTATTGGTATCTATTACACTGAAAATTATATAATTTTAAGAAGCTTTATCTTAATGCACTATCCTGTATAGTAATTTTAATTATTTTACAATTTCATTACACATGTTCCATAATTTATAATTTAGTACTAACAAAAATATAATATAAGTTGAAGCACTTACGCAAATATTATATGGCACCGATTTGTTACATTCAATGCTTCTCCAAGTATGACCACGGGACTTATATATTGTATGCATATAATTGCTATCACTCAATAAAGAATGAAAAATTCTGTATAATAAATAACTTAAGAATATGCCGCCTATGAGAATATAATAATTTGAAGTTATACTGAACATCTTGTACATCAATTGAACATTGAACAATAAATGTTATATATCTCGTTAAAAAGTAGTGTATTTCTTGTTGAATTAGAGCAGATATATTTCCATTACGATTTACGAGTATTCTTTATTGCGCTAGTACGGCATAGTTTATGGAATGTGGATTTAAAATTAAAGTACAAAATAGTCAATCAAATCAAACTTTGACGTTGTTTTTATAATAATTGGCTTTACGGCTCTGGGTTCTAGCCCTTCTGAGCCTGAAGTTACAATGTATAATAATTATCCTTCATAAAATACACTGCTTCAAAATATGATGCGCCACATTGTGCTGCCCTTTGGAGATTTTAACGGCAACTTGAGCCAGGAGACAGCTGACAGTTGGCGATGGTATCTCAAGGCACCTATGTAGACAGACACCTTATCTTGAGAATCATATCACCATTAGAGCACTTGTTTCACCGTTTCCACTAATAGTTCACATGCGTAGTCATTTAATACACAAAATCGCACCACTTTTACATATCAAAATCAACTTCAAACCATTATTTAAACAATAATACAAGAGCAGCAATCCTCCACCGTTCAAGTTTCCGCCAAAATAATAGTGTTCTGTGCAAAACTCTCTCAAACTTTGACGTTTAAGCACAGACCACAGACTATAAAGAAAGCGTACGATAAGGAACTGTCAAAATTTTGACTTTTTGGTAGGGCCGCACAAGAGGATAAAATTAAAATCATTAATCGTTCGAGCTGTTTCTGCAGCACTGGTGCCACGGTAGAACTCGTACTCGTAAATATACCGATATTTCATGTGTTCTATTGTGCAGTAATAAGCGTAGCCAAATAAAAAAATAATGACGAAAAAACAAATTAATGACTTTTTTCAAAACTCAAATGTACCAGCTAAATGAATTTATAAATTGGAATTTGGAATTCTTAACCAAAGAGGAGATATTTCATATCAAAGTGGCCAGTACGACAAAACGCTAATTTCATATGTAAGGACCTAATATTTCATTACTAATATTTACAACGATTCTTTCGGGATCAAGATATTCGCAAAATTTTTGCTCAATCGATTCATACATTCATTTCTGATACATTCTCACATTGGCTGGAACTCAAACAGGTACAATCATTTGTCATAAAGTTGAGCGTTGGGAAAGTATTTCCAAATAAATATTTTACAGGTCTTTTACAGGGTAAGTTAGAAAAATGAATACAGGATTATTCGAAGTAATCCCCACAGAGTCTATATTATTGCCTTTTTTATAATAAAAAAGTTTCGAAAGGAGATCTTCTGTTTCGACAGCCTTTAACCACTCTTACCGTCTGAAATAATAATAATAATAAACATGAACCTACGTATTTAATTTATAAACGTAATTTTTCAATTATAAACATTATAAAAATAACTATTTAATCACTTATAGGTAGGTAGGTCGCTTGTAGGTGAGTTATCTATCTACCACATTCAAAATAATAAATTATAGCCAAGTTACTACTTACCTAGTAGTAGTACTTACTTACTTACCTAGTAGAGTGTTTGGGATAACTAAAAATATATTTTTATTTGTTCTATTATTATTCATAAAACCAGTATAGTAAACCATACTAACGCTGTTTAATATATCATGTGATAGGAATAATTAACTAGGCTTTAGATTTAGGAAATGTCTGTCAAAACGAAAGCTACCTACTGAGCAACCTAGGAGTGGGCGATACAAATCGTATATAGATACAATATCTATATATCAATACAATATCCAACATCTATCTATATATCCGACGACAAACTAACTATGTATCAGATATTACGATTTTACGATACGGTGTTGATATGAGTCATCGCAGAATATCTAATATCTACTCAAAACCGAAACGTAAAATATCTAAATATATACACTGATTCGGATACCGAGCAAACTTTGAGCGCTATAGAATATATAGCTAAATCAGATATTACGATTTACGACTACTTTACAACGAAAAGGTGATACGCTTACGCTTAATATTTTTAATATTAAACCTTATTATTAGTACCATACGATTTATTACAGAACACATAATTTTTAATATCCAGTCTAAGTAGTATAATTTTATTATTACTTTGTTGCGTTGCACTGTTTTCAAAATAAACTATTTTAGATCTTATTGTGTATTTAATAGATTGTTATTTTTGGTATGTAAATTAAAACAGAAAATTATGAAGGAAAGTTTATTTCACCGATACTGAAAAACTATACCCGCTTTCTAGATATGGGATAATTTCCTTTGGCGTAGGGGTATAATATAACCACTAATCATAACCACAAGTGTGGCATAAAATATAAAGGTTTAATTTTATAGCAAATAAATGTTGCAATCCTTATTTTTAAACATGGAGAGCCTAAAGTTAAGTGTAATAAATTAAAATAATATTAAATATTTTTAAAATATTATTCTTTAGAGGAAAGGAGTAAAAAATACTTTGTAAAAGCGCCACCTTCTAGATTCTATACGTAAAGTGATTTTATCGAACAAAAATTGATTAACACTCAAGGTGGTACGTACATTATACGCTAGATGGCATAAACACGACACGATTAAATTTAATATTCTATTTCATTATCTCGCAGGATAAATCTTACTTTTTATATTATGAGATACTATTGTCTCCACGATCAAATACTCAATAATTGATACGCAAAAATTGATATTCTCTGGGTATAAGAAGTGGAGAATACTTATCAATAAAGTCTTAACGAATAGAACAACCCATCTATTTCGCGTGGTTATTGTAAAAGGCGACTAAAGGAGTATTTTAAGAGGACGATGGACAGCAGTCAATTACCCTCGTTTTAAAGTTTTTTTTTTTTTACTTAATTTAATATTCTTTCTTCCACTGAAGTGGGTAATGTCGTTTCATTTCGTTTGTCCTCCGGCCAAGTCGCGGGGTCGTTCCTTTTAAAAGCGGGTCCGGTAAACCACCTCTGTCTTGAATTAAAGTCGACAGGTACGCCCTTGGTTGCGTCATTCGCGACGTTATCTGAGCTGGGTACCCATCTCCAATTGGTTGGAGTGGTTAAGCTTTCGATTTCAGCCAATCGGTGTGCGACAAACGACTTGAACATGCACGGGTCTGATTTAATCCAAGCTAATACACTTTTAAAGTCTGACCAATAATGACATTTTAATATTTTATAATCCGACTTGCGTTTAACCGATTCGGCTAATCGACTGACTAACACTACGGCTTGAAGTTCTAACCGGGGAATCGATATTGGTTTTAACGAAGCTACTTTGACAGTCTGTTTTTGCACTTACGAAATATACAGCAGCGGAATACACCTTTTCGCTTGCGTCACAGAAAATGTGTAACTCCCCCTTCTCCAGAGGGTGTAGCCGGTATGTACCTATTTATTTCTAACTTTTTTAACAGCTGTAAGTTGATTGATGTATTTATAAATGATAACCATGTCATGTGATGCTCGGTTGTGATGGGGCCGTCCCAATATATCCCACTACGCCATATCTATACATATAATAAAACTGTAAATAGCAGACGTCTGTACATTTTATATTTTTGTAATAAAAGTGATTGAAGAGTACTAAAAATAAGTAATTAATTACAATTCTACCGTTTTTAGAATTTTCTGTCTGTCTGTTTGTTTGTTAACGTATCACGTATAAAGTACTAATTTCTATCATAAGAATCGTTAAAGAAATTATAAAGTGTAACTTCGGGTTACATTTAGTCTTTATTTCATTAAAATCAGTTCATTCCATCAAAAGTTATGACAAATATTCTGAAGTATGATTAGGTACTAAGTATAGATACGAACTCAGATCATAGAAATAACAGGAGATATGCCCGGTACGTTAAAATGTATTAGCACCTGTTGTCGCCAGTTTGTCCCCGCCACTCGCCAACTACTACACATGCAGTTCAGTAAAATCAATAGATACACAGTCGCGCACACACCCGCATTTCATAAATCAGAACGTACAACACAACCAATTATAAACCTTATCCCATCAAACACAGCGTGCATTTATCATGAACCGTACCCGTACAACTTACTCATCCAAAAACATCTGTCGCTATTGTTGTGCTGTGCAAAAGGCATTTATTTTACTTAGACGCTAGTGATTGACTAAATCGGAAAGTTGTCGATTCTTCTATTTATAATTGTACTAAAGATTTTTTGGGGTCATGATAATAAAATAAAATAAATAAAGAACGATATGTCCAAAAAATATTATAATTAAAATAAACAATATGTAGTTAAAACAGAATATTAATAAATAAATTATAATTAATATTGTGGTTCAACAATATTAATCAATACAATGGCCTTTTCAACTAGTTGTATATACAATGCTGTGAGGCTTTCTGTGTACACTAAAAAGCCAATAAAACCGGTTTTTCTTGGTGTACTGATAGCCTTTTTACCGTTTGGAAGCTTTATAGAAGTTAAATACCGTTTCGCTTTTTCTAAAGTTTCTTAGTAAGTACATATTATAATAGTAAAGAATATTGATTTTTCTTATCTTCATTTAACGACAACTCTCATTAACGCCACAAAATGCGCAGTTACTTAAACTGTAGTAACAAATTATGTTTTACAATAATTAATAGTATCATGCATAATCATCCGTACTTAGTAGAATCGTATAAAATATCGACAACCACAAACATCACATTACATCTCTAACTCACATAAGCCGGCAGCGGCCGCTTCACGAAACTATCGTTTGAGTGAGAGTATCTATAAAACACTTATCCATTGCGCTATATGACCAGCTGATTCACTGGTCGATTTGTACTAAACAAGCAATGGTTATTGTTGCTAATGAAAACATTTGATTTGGTTTTTCATCGTGTTTCTAGTACCACGAAGTAATGTTTTAATGATTTTAATAAGAGAAACATTAATATTTTAGTATTTACGTGTGAAATGAGATGCCATCTTTCATGTAATTCACAATATAGCTGTTAGTTTTGCAAACGATCACTGAACAACGCAGCATTTTGTCAA